CATGGACATAATTTTAAGATCTGTGCTACTGTAGAGTCATTAGGTTATTTTGAAGGAGACGTGTGTATGTGCAATGACCTCACCGAGACTCGAACCCTGGACCTTTTAAATACGAGTCAAGTATGTTTCTAATTACCTGTATTTGGCGGCATATAAGACGCACCCTTATTTAGAAGGCCACACACAAGGAAAAAAAGTTTCAATAGTCCACGCAATAGCGCTGTACCACAATAACTTAAAATGTCGTTTCTTTTAGTTCTCCCGTTTCGTGAAAGCCAAATAAACAATCATTGAATGCAATTACCAAACACATTTTTATTAAGAAAAATTAACAAACGGCAAGCTATTTTGAACATGATATGTAAATTTCGATAATGAATAAATGAATGAACAGCAAGCAATCAAACATAATACAAAATAAAGCAGAAACAACAAAAAACACAGATTCAAGGAAAACGTTGCCTATCATGAAATTAGACTTTAATCACTTTCAAAACCAATAAAAATCCTTTTCAGTATCATCATCATCGAAAACGAGAATATCGTCATCACTACTGTTTCCTGTGTCATCGCTAGTATCACCTTCTTCGAATAATGCGTCGTCTTCTGTTCCGTCAAGAAGCATTACTGATTCCGCACTTCTTAAAGGACTTTAACAATTACTTCAGCCTTTACGTCCTCCCAAAGATCTTTTTACTCACTCGCACACTTGTGAAATAGAGGGCTGATTCATTCTGCTGAGGGTGTGAGGGCATGATGTGGCTCTCCTATCCACTTGTTACATCGTTCTCACACTTTTTCCTTAAATGGATTATTCACCGATACATCTAAAGGCTGCAATTGGCTAGTCAGTCCACCAGAAATGACAGCTATCTGGGTTTTAAATTCTCTTGCTTTATTCTTTATGGGCACTAAACTGATTCAAAACCAAAAGAGAGGGTTTTCTTAACAGTCCACCAGATCGCCTCGTCCGTATGTTCTATAACCACAGTTTCATTCCAGCTTCGTCCATCCAGCCTTTCGGATGAACATGAATAATTACACCCATTGGAAGTTTTTCTTTTGGATGAGTTTTTCTTTTGAATACAAAAAACGGCTGTAGTTTTGTGCCGTCAGCACAACATATTAGAACTACCGTATATCGGGTTTTTTCATGACCTGTGGTTTTTATGGTTATTGATTTAGACCCTTTAATACTGACAGTCTTCTTGGATGGTACATCAAATGTGAGTGGAATTTCATCCATATTTCTTATTTGAACGAGCTCAAAAGAAGTTTTCTTGCGTGCATTTATAAAAAACCTATGAAATGCTAGTATTTTTTCTTCATAATCTGCTGGCATTTTCTGTGCAATAGTTGTTTTTGTGCACATTGATAAGCCTTGCCTTTTCATGAACCTGTAGCACCAACCCTCAGACCCTGAAAAATCTGAAAAAAACCCCAAAAATTCTGATTCCCATGTTTTTCTGCGCAAATCCTTTGGCCTCATTGATTATCATTTTAGTTGAAACACTTATCCCAGATTTCCTCTTATCTATTACCCACATTTCTACGGCATTTTCAAGTTCAGGCCAAGATGGATCTGGGCATCGAAGGTTATGTTTTTGTTTTTTAGCAGTCTTCAGTTGATCCTCCTGCAGTCGCCAAGTACGTATCATTTTTTCGGTAGGAGGTGTACCGGAATGCCTTGCTGCTGCTCTGTTTCCATGCACTTTGGCATAGTTTAACACTCCTAGTTCATACAGAATTGTAAAGCTTAATCTCTTGTTTCCTGTAGTCCTATTTTCCAGGGTATTTTTTTTTTTAAACAAATAGTTTTAAGCACCGATACCGACACGTTTATACAGAGTAGCACCAATACCTACACGTGTGCCGCCTAAGTCAAAGAAAGTCAATGTAAAGAAGGAAAGGCTCCATAGACGCAATGTGACCGTCGAACCTGTTCGAACTTCGACATCAGCTTCGAGCATTGGCGCTTTTTGGCGACAGATATTTCACGCACGTGCAAAATAATTATGGCAGATGTAGAAAATTTATGTGTGCTTAGAACTTTATCTGGGCTAAAAATAGCATTCAGTATTGAAAGTTAACCTCTGTCCTTCACGTATAAGACGCAAGTAACTTTTTTGAGACCAAATTTAGGAAACAAAGTGTGTCTTATATGCCGTCAAATACGGTACATTATAAAGGTACACTTAAGGAAGGAAAAAATACCTTACACTGTTTTTCGATGAAGCCATCCAAATGAAAATGTTCTTTGTCTGAAAATCTTATGCAAACTGCATCAATATTACTTTTCTCAATTAATTTAAGCACTTTTTTCCCCACAAAAGATGAGTTCTTTTTTCCCTTTCTTTTCTTTTTCCATTGACTACTTACATAGAGTGCAATGGTGCTGCAATGCCATTAGTTGCTGACACCTGATACTAACACATAGGAACATACCAAAATGATTCTCAATCTTGCAAATTAATATTCTGCAAGAAGAATAACAGTCACTTTTTATTTGCTATTCTATTTTAAAAACATTTAATCCTTTTTAAGACACTCTGTATGTTACGGCCTGTATGATATAAACCCATAGATACATAATACAGACATTAGAATTTCTTGGAAGAAGGAAAGATGAAAATGAGCAACGCCTTCGACAGGAATCGAAGCTCGGACCTCTGGAATATGCGCCCAGCATGCAAACCATCACATAACAAAGGCATGCCACGAAGCCGGGAGAAATACCTTATATACTCCCCCTTTTAAAGGGCAACTAGGTTTTCAGGGAACCCAATCACCAAATCCTGAGGGTGAAGAATCATCATCCACCACCCTTTTAGTGGTGGATGTTCGGGTTTGGGTGCCACTTTTAGAGACATTAGATATTTTTGGAGACAGGAAAGATGAAAACTGAGCAACGACCTCACTGGGAATTGAACCCCGGACCTCTGGAATATGCACCCAGCATGCAGACCACACGAAGGCATGCTAAGAAGGTGGGAGAAATACCTTATAACATGTAATACTTCAAATCACATCAGAATTGAACAGCAAGTGACACTAGCATGTTAGTTCAAGAATGTTTTATACTCTTTTAAGGTATAAACTTCAAAAGTCTTCACCTGATTCGAATTATCAGTAGCACAATACTCAACAGAACACCAACACTTGAGAAAAGAGTACTGAATAAAGACAGCATGAAATGTCGTTTCCAGATTACACTTTCAAAATAGAAAAGTGTGGATATAATATCACCTGCATAAACTATGGATCCTTCCTGTGGATACCATGGGATATCATTCCCCCTTTTCCTGTTACAGTGCTCTTGTTGCTAACCCTCCTGATTTGAATCTCAGCCAGATCAGAACCACAAATTTTACAGTGGCAAAGAAGCAAGGGGTAGCACATGTTATTGGCACTGGTCTTTGACATCTTTACCCAGCTCTATCCCAATTTTGACAGAGAGCCACAAAGATATGGATTCCCAAAGTCTCCTACTCTTTTTTCTCTACTGGACACATTTCGATAGGACTTTTGACTGAGAGCATTTTCTTAAGTCCCATGTCATAAAGACACTATGCCTTCTTAGCAAGCACAAGGCTAAGGCAGCTGACTCTCTAACACCCACTATGCCATTCATGCATTGCATGGACCCAACAAACTTTTATGCATTAAAATTACTGCATATCCATAAATTACATCAACTATTAACTACAAAGCTAAAACAACACATAATAAATTTGCAATAGTCAATTGGTAATCAAGTATGAGGATTTACATATCCTAGAAGAATTCCGAGGTAGGTATTCTGATATACAGCAAAATGAATTTGCAATACTCAACTGGCAACTGAGTATGAGGATTTAAATACATCCTAGAACTCTGAGAGTGAAGTGAATGAGTTAAAGCTTGACTCATAGTAAAATAAATTTGCAGTACTCGACTGACAACCAAATATAAGGATTTAAATATCATAAAAGAACTCAAAGAATGTTGGAGTCGGGGTATTCTGACTTACAGCAAAACGAATTTGCAACACCCAATTGGCAACCACGTATGAGGATTTAAAGATCTCAAAATTTTATTAATCTTATTGAGATAGGATAAATTGTTTGACTCACAGCAGCAAAATGAATTTACAATACTTAACTGGCAACCAAATATGAGGATTTAAATATCCTAGAACTCCAAGAATGTCAGGAAGTTAAGACATTCTGACTTACACTAAACAGTTAATCAAATGTGAAAGATTCAAACAGCAATTATTAAACCATCACTAAACCACAACCATCATTACTTGAAAAAAATATTCCATGACACATTTTCAGCTTTTCTTAATTCAGTATCACTTCAAAATACTAAAAGCAACAGTAATCGATTGATTATCATTTTTGAAAGCAGCATTAGTTGCTAAAACTTCTTTCTGCATAAAAGGCATGATGGGAAATAACATACTGCATTTGAAACCATATTATTTTTAATTTGACTTTTTAAGCATAAAAAAAGTTTCAGAATACAGCAGTTTGAATAATGATACACATTTTTCACATTTACTTCATGCACAAAATTGAATTAAGAATTATATTTAGAAAATGACAGAATTGACTGTAGACTAAATAAAAATAACAGACAAATGAAATATATGTTTAAAAAAATTCAGATTTTCTGTTTATATTTTCCAGTTGCCATTAATGATTTTAAAATTAAACAATGGAAAATCATACAAGCATAATTAAACACAAAAGTATATCGATCAACTCTAATGATAAAACAATGTGATAAGTAATAATCAACATGCACACTTTGATAAGTTTTCTAGATCCATCAAAAGAAAAATTCATATTTTTAGTAATAATAATTGTCACAACAGCAAGAAATCAGACCAAACAATAGTAGACGAAAAGAATAAGAAAAGACCCAAATAAAAAAAGAAACAGAAAATAATGAACAAGGAGAATTATCTTTTTAGAAAAGTATACATGCATTCCCCAAACAAAAAGCATTAATACCTGCTCTCTAAGAAAAACAGCTTGCTGACGTTTCATTTCCTGTTCCTACGACAAAAACAATTTGAAAAATTTTGTTATGATAATTATGAGATATTTCTTCATTTTATTACTCCTTAAATCTGAATACATACAATTTTAAATAAACATGCATACTTATTTTCATAGTAATTATATTTTGATGCAAATCTATAAATTACCTCAAGTAACTGCTGAGCACGAATTTCTCTTTCAATTCTCATTTGTTCCAGTCTTTCAAATTTTTCTTGCTGTTTCATAATACGCTGTTGTTCCTTCTGCTTTCGACTTTCTTCGGCTGAAAAATTAAATAAGAATTCCATTTTTCAATTATACCAAGGTGCCCTTTAATGTAACATTTAAATAATTAAATACTTATAATACAGAATTAAGAAATCATAGGGATAATGTAAGCATAAAGCCATATTATGATAACCACTAAAATTTGATATTTCATATGAATAGGAAGAATTTATACAGTATTAAAAACATTTTCTGAATAATATAATTCTGAAGTACATGGATATTAGAATCAATTACAATTTTAATACACTTTTTCAACCTATATTCAGACTATATATAATCAAATTTATTCTAATGGCTTAGTTACAGACATTTAACTGGATTCCCAAAGGCTGAAAATGAGTAACAAACAAAGCACACACACAAGAGTCTCATTATGTAAAATCAGTTCTTAATAGTTTAGAGAGTAGAATGCCAGTTGCTATTCACAGCCACAATTCATTTAATTTTTATGGCAAAGGAAATGATGATTAAGCTGTGAGTGGAAATACTTTATCTCTTTGCCACTGCACCTTTTGTAACGTGAGTATGAGCCAGCTGCCAGTTTCCAATCCGTTTTTGCAGAACTTAATCCTCAACTAAGACAACCCTTACCTTATACTGATAATGTTACTGAAAGTTATTATAACCTTACTTGAAGTTACTATAATCTTACTTTTTTATGCTTTAGATCTCCAAAGATTATGCATGTAAAATTCCACACAGAAGGATGGATTTCTGCCAGCTCCTGATAGATCAGATTTTGGGGGGGGTGCATAATGGAATCAAGAAAATATGCCTTATTCATGACATTTTGGGGAATTTTGAAATTTTTTGACTAAAATTGTAATGCTCAGAGTTAAATACCAAAATGATTTTTTAAGTCTATTAATAGGAGGAAAAGAAATTCAGTATGAGCGATTAGTTAATTTCTGTTCTTTATAATTCCACTTACGGGATAACCAGCAAATACAGAACTTTAAAAATTTAGAGATTGAAATGCTGGGCTTTCATTATGAAAAAACAGATTCTTTACAGGTACTTGCAAAAGGAATGGTATAATTGATGAATTAAGAATTACCAATTTAAAAAAAAAAAAAAAAAACAAGATCTATCTAGGTACAGCAGAAGATATCTCTTACGCAGTAATTTCTGATCAAAACTGGCTAACAATAACATTACATATGCAATACCTACAAATTCAGTATTTCTGACAGCCAAGAACTGAATATATAATGCAATTAAAAGCTTTGTCATTTTAGCCACCAACCACTGAGGAACAAACTTTGTGTTGGGTATAAAGGTTGTAAGGTATTTTATATTCTTTAAACAATTTTGAATCTTTACTGTTACTTGTTATTTCCGCTAGGAACTGAGACTGAAGAGGATCTAAGGCGGAGGTTTTGAATGTTCTAGATACAAAGCTTTTAGCTACAGCACTTGTAGCTTCAATTTTTTCCACTCAGCTCTGCCTGTTAATTTTACGGCTTTAGACATTCACTAGCCAATGTTAAAATATGCACCATTCACGTTTTGAAGCAACTTGCTTAGACCAAATTTGTGTAGAATTTGTCTGCAGTACTTTTAAGCTGTAAATTCAATTTATGTTACTTTAAATACCTGCAAGTAGTAGAGTTTTGTTTGTGTACACACGTTGTGCCGGCTGTTTAATTTCAAATTAAATAAAAATGTTATTTAAAACCTTCACAGAACTTTGTTGTTGCATCCAAATTACCTGAAGTAATCACTTGCTAGTCAGTCTACTAGGGTCTGAAGGACACTTGAGCTAATACTACACAATTAAAACCCTATAAGGTGTTGCACCAAATCTAATGACTATTGCACATGCACCAGCAAAAAATATTCCATTAAAAGACTTTAAGTGAGCTTACTACCAGTAAAACTGCTAGATAACTAAATAATTTATAAAGGCAAAGCATACAAAGGCATAGCCGCTAATGCTGAAATATGAAAAACTGGGAGTTCCCAGGAGGCTTTCAAACTGCATAGCAACACAAGGCAGAATGCATGGCAGAATTCCAAATTGACTTAAATGTACTTTGTAAATGTATGTTTAATTGATATTTGTTTTTAATAAAATCCAGACAGCAATTAAAACAATTTTATAACGCTGGGTTTGGGTTGCTAATCTGTTATTATCATAACCACTAGAAATTAGCTATTATTGTAATAAAAAAATCTGATGTGTACACCACGACTTCCTTGTATGGAATATTAAATTATACACATTTTTGGCTGCATTTCATTTAAATTTATTAGCTCAAAATTCACTAGAGATATATTTCTCATTCAATTAATTCAGTTCTCATTTCATGACAAAGCAAAAATAAAAAACCTCAAAATATCTTTTAAAAATTGAAAAATATAGAAAACTATAAAACACCAAATACAGTTAAAACAATTTAAAAAATTACACAATTAAAATTAGAGCTTCTACACAAAAATAAACAATTTGGCCAGCAGGCAAGAAGGCAGATTTTTCAGAGCACAAAAACGAAAGTTTACTTTTCGTCCCACTCGGCAAAAAGACACTCACGGTGCTGAAACTGAGTTCATTACTCTGGCAAGTTACAAGTGTAAACAAATACTATTGTTATGGTAAAAAAAAAAACATATATATATATACTTAGCCACAGTCAAGCAACTTTTAAATTATTGATAATTCTATAACTATTGCATGCAGATTAACTAAAAGCATAAAAACCTTAACTGGAAGATATGAACAACATAATTCAATAATTTTGAAAGCAAAAAATGCACAGTTTAGTAGCATATAAGAATTAAGGAAAAAAAAACTGAGCTCATGAAGCCAAGTAACAGAGTCAGTATACATATATATATATATATATTTACATACTTTTGGTTCAGCTAATTGCAACCAAAAAGGGAGGTGCACAGCTACATGTTCTAGCAGTCCTAAAATTTCAATGTTCTGAGGCTACTTGTTTTTGAGTTATGTAAGATACAAACTTACATATGTACATACAGACACATCACAAAAATTTCTGAAGCATCTGAATCCATTTTATATCCTTTTTGTAACCCATTTTGGGAAAAAGAGTCTTTTATTCTGTCCTTACATACAGATGTCATGCAGAAATATCGTTAAATTGCATTCTATAGCGGCCAAAATAGATATTTTCGTTGAAACGTGACACCCCAAAATTTTCGTGATTGCAATACATCCTTGTACTTTCTACAAGGAAGTAAAAATTAAACAAAAAAAAACCTAAGAGTTCAATAGCGTTACTTATACATATACGACATGGAATTCAATTTTAGAATTTTATTCACTGGATTCAATTTTCACTCTTTATTACATATTAATTACTAAAGGTAAAGTGCTGGTTTGTTAATCTCACACATGAGAAGTGGAAGCCCACAATAAGGGTATTAATTAATTACAACGTTAACCACAGACTTTCTCATGCACTGTTTTCTTTTTAGCTAACAAATAGATAAGCCTTCAGCTCGCATCTTTGCAGCAGAGAATGCACAGTCAAACATGCTATATGAATGCACAGCTGCCAATCTTGAAATATGGAAAGCTGGGGGCTTTCAAATAGCATAGTAAAAGCTATGTGGCATGGTGAATCTAAACTGATTAGAATTTATAATGCAGGATTCAAGTATGATAATACAGTGTTGATGTAAAACATATTACTATTTAATCAGACAATCTAAATTTAATGATCTCTCATCAATTTCATTTTGGAATTTTCTTATAATTTTATACCAAGAAAACCATGAGTATGGAAGGAAAGCTTTTACTTAAAGTACTTTTAAAAGCAATGAAAATAAATTAATAAGTAATGTATTTGCTATTGTGTGGATAAAATTAAATGCAAATATTAATTGATTAAATGTTGCTTGAATCTTCATAAAATGTTCTATCAATTGTAGATTAAAATAATTAAAATCAAATAAAATTTAATAAGAATTATACTGAAAATAACTAGGGGAGATGGAATATAATTTGCACTTTACCCTTTTGGCTCTGCTGTTGGGATTTGCCACCTTCAAATGTAGAGTACTATTTTATAAGCATATATATTTGATAGCATGATATGGCACACCGTAGTTCAAATTATCAAATGGATTTATTACAATTCACTAAAGCAATGACAGAAATTTTAGCACTTCCTGAGTTCTCTGCCACCAAGACAAGATAAATCATGATCCTATGAATTCACCTATTCCACCCAAATATCAGAAGTTGCACGTAGTTCCAGTACATGATGAGAATACTAGAACTAACAAATTAGGTAGGCCATGAACAGCATAGTAAACTGGAAAGTTGTGAACGATGTTCCAGAATTTAGTGTGAAAAATACAAAGTACTGCTTTGTTTTAAAAATTTGATGTACAATAAATTTTAATAATATTATAATCTATCCTTATATTTGTATGCAATTTTACCTTCAGATCTGATGGTGGCAACTGCCACAACATTGTACTTTCTCCAACTCAAGTAGGAACTTATTAATAGATTGCAAGGAAGTTCTAAAACCTATAAACACTAATTTGTAGACTCTTTTTGGGCACACCTAAACCATGGCTGAAAGTGTTAAGTTTCATAAATTCAATACATTTAATTTATTGCTGCGAAATATTTTCTTCAGTAGATTTCTTTAATAAAGGTTAAAATTTCAACTGAGAGATTTGGTAATCTGGTGAAAAACTGAAATCTCCTGCTAAAACCAGAAGAAATGGCAGCTATACTAATCGCATTTATTTTTCAAACTACTCTTCACTTTTCAAAATTAAATATGACAATAAAATAAAAACAAGTTTATTTCATTTAGTAATGATATACATGCACTTAAAAAATAAAAAAGAAAAGGAAAAAAAAAAGCTGCTTTTTAAAATTAATAACTATGAACAAATTAAGATTTATAAAAACAAATCAAAATACAGAAAATTCATGATGGACAGCAGAAGGAGATTTGACAATGAAATTATTTTAAATGTTCTACAAATCCAGACATGAAAAGTAAGTTGCTGTGTGCAAGTAAAAAGTTCAATTTTATGGAAAAATATTCAAACACTGCTATTACATGAGCCTCTTGTTTTCTTTTCACCAAACTCAAGATTAGCATCAAAAATAAAAGCATCCTAGTTTAAAAATGAATGGCAGGGAATTGCACAAAGCTGATAGGATTCCTGATAATAGGCTAAAACCCCGAAGAAATAAAATTGTGCTTACTCAACCTCCCTCCATCTGGAAATCAAGACTTGCATACTTTTTTAAGTGTACTCTCCATATACCCAAACAGTATCCAAAATTATTTTCAAAGTCAAAGGTGGCATGTGATATATCATACCATTCAGTTACCCTATCAAATTTTAATATTATACAGTGAATATTAAAAATGCATATTTGGGTGCTTTTGCTCATGGGAAATCCAACAGCTGTCAGGAGAAGTTTGTTATGGACTTTTTTAATTTGCAGCAAAACAGCAGTTTGCAAGATGGTGGATCACAGCCAGTTGAGTGTTGTACAGAAGGTGGAAACTGGAATGTTTTTTTAAGAAACAAAGTATTTGGCAGCAACAAAAATCCATTTTCATGCACACTTTGGAATGAGATGAGTGACTGCCACTGGCTTCAAGTTGGTGAAGAATCTACGGTGCCAATGATGTGGCACCGTGGATGCCATTTCTGCGTTTCCACACACGCAGAAATGGCAATAGGTCTCTCTTTATACACTCTGTGGTTCTTGAATACAGATCCTGCACACACACTGCAAATCTTGATCTTGATTTCTTACGTGAGATGTTTAATGTGCATGTAAATGTCACATCATTCTTTTAAATGTTACAAAGGTTAGAGACAATGGCCCTCGCATAGTCCGGATATTAATCCGTGCAATTTCTTTTTATGGGAGGCTTTGGAAGATAAGGTGTTTGCAAGGAAGCCTGCAAAAGCTGCCCAACTCAGGGTTCTAATCCTGCAGTTTGTGCCATGCAATTTCTGAAGATGATTGCCACAGATTCGCAACATAAACAAAGGTTTGCTTGCAAGGATACACTGAACACACTCTGCACTAAACTCACTTTCCATGCTCAGACATTTAACTATGCATTACTTTTGTAATGTCTGGATGATAAATAAATCTTTAATAAACAAAACAAAGGGTGTGGTAATTCATGCATCACACCATATCTACAAATTGCCATTTACTGTCCATAACAAAAAATAAATCAAATAGATAAAGAAAAATCTAATAAGCAAAATAAAAGTCTTAAAAAGCCATGCACACCTCTTAATCGTTTTTCCTCTCTAGCAGCCACTAAGGCCTTTTCTCTTTGCACTTGTCTTAACATCTTCGATTCTTGTTCTTCTCGAAATTTTGCTACATGGCAAATAATAATCAATAACTTTTCTTTTAAGTGTTTACTTCAATTTTAACCTTATATGTCTGACTTTAATATGTTAGAGAACAGATAAACAAAGATTAAAATTACCATGCATAAGATAATCAGAAATAATCAAGAACTAAAATAAACGGGTGGCGCCACTGGATGCAAGAAATTTTTAAATTAAGCATGCTAATGATCATGCAAAATGAGGCTACAATCACAGTGACGTTCTTTCAGCATTGCGAATTGAGCGGGCAAGAGAAGGCATTAAATGCTCTATGCAGATACAAAATGCATCATCTGTCATTTGCTTCCAAATTATAATTAGTATGAAATACCTTGCTGTTCTAAATGATGCTGCAACTGCTTCTGTTCCCACTGTCGCTGCTGCTCTTCTTCCTCGGCAGATCGATGCTGCGACGATTTTCGGTTTTGCACGCCCAAGCGGCCTTTTCTGGCTCTAACTTCTTCTATTCTGGCAATAACTTCTTGTTCGGTTAACAGTACATAATCCTTTATTAAAATAAAGAAATAAATAAGGAACAAAACTAATGAAACTGATTAGCAATTTCTGCATTTCCATTAAAGACACAAAAATAAAATCTTTAATTTCATCGTTTTTTTCTTTTCAGTTCTACGCTCACAAAACATGGTAATACTTTCAACCATAAAAAATATTTTTACATAAATGTGACAATTAGTGCATCAGTAGAAAACAATAACATGTGGTTTCCAGCAATCAATACATGGGAGAATGTACACAAGTTTGAACTAATGGCATAGGCGGCTATAGTTTTGATAATACATACATTCTGTTACATGGAAAATTACTTTTCTACTGTGTGACTTACTGCAGTAATATATACCATGAGACTGAAAAGTAAAAATTTAATAACCAGAAAAGTACAAATAGTAAAATGATGTGGTTTTAATAGAAATGCACAGAAAGAGATGGCATTTTCTTTTAATAATGACTTTATTACCAGAGTAGTTATATTTTTCACAGATAAGTGATGCTTTTGTTGCATCAGAAGTTCGTACAGTGACATAGCACAATTTAAAATGCAGCTAGGATTACAAATGTTCAGTATGATGAATGTTATTTATATTAATGACCATCTACCATTACATGATACTTTCCACAGCACTGCAGGCAGGTCCACTGTAATTCTCATCACATGATGACAAATAACTTCTTTCAATATGATATAATGAACTTAACTTTTTGTGCCTTTTTAACTTTATAATCAAACACCACTTTCTTCACACTTATACCACACCAAATTCAACAGGAAAATTACAATATTTTTAAAAGTAGCATATGTTTAGAATTCTTGATGGACTGTTAAGCATTGTTATCATTATTAATATTTTGGCAATGACATTACAGAGTACTGCGCCTGCACAAGTATAACAGATGTGGTTTCGACGTCTGTTGCAGAGAGAGTTCGGAAGCTCTGCCAACGAATGAATGTGTGGAGATTTTTTATTCATTCAGTGATGACGAGTGCCATCTTGTTTAACATCTCTGATCATGGCACCAACTCGGATATCTATTAAAGTTTTATAAATATATTAATTGAATGTTGTATCTGTGGCTTCCTGTGTTGTGAATAAAGACACTGATGCATCACTAGTGCTACCTTCCTTACTACTGGCACAATACCACATGATGGCAAGTAATCTCTTCCAACAATGTCAGCTAACCTCTGCATATCTGTGGCTTCAAATAAAAATGTAAATACACTGGAAATAAAAATTTTCACCTGTATTACTAAATATGAAGAATATGTATGTATGTATGTATGCATGTTCTTTGCATTGTGAAAAAAAGGCTCCACATAAAAAGCCACCAAATTTTGAACACATATCATCCTTTACCTGAGCATGGGCACTACAAAACCTGAATTTGCTTTTTATATTTATTTCTCATTCAATGTAAATTTAATAACCTTCCAATAAAAACTTAAGTGATATAAAAGCTTTATGTTGCCACTCTGCAAAATGTTTGATATTTGTTTCAAATTTAACCAAAAACGCAGCAATATTAGAAAAAAGTGTGCTGCAAAATGCAACATACATATCTTTTGAATTTAGTTGCATTGTGGAAAAATAACCACAAGTTTTGAACATAATCTTTTATCTGACCATATACTCCTCAAAACCAGAATTTTAAATTTCAAATTTGCTTTTTATTCATTTAGATTCTGTGCAAATTTAAAGGACTTTTAATTAACATACTCAAGGATATAAAAGCTTTGTGTTGCCATGTTGCAAAGCATAATATATTTGTTTCAAATTTAATCTGAAAACTCAGCGATATACATAAGGTGTGTCGACGTTCAGCAAATCATAATATATTTGTCTTTCAAATTTAATAAACAAATTGAGAAATTTAAAAGAACTGAGTTGCCATTCAGCAAAGTACAAAATATTTAATTTTCCTTTTAATTACTATTAATTATTAGTGCTGGACCCTTGAAATCATATTATTCAGACATATTAAAATTATATACAGTACAAAGTCTGTAATCCGGACTCGTCGGGACTTCTGCGATTCCGGATTAGAGGTTTTTCCGGATTACAGATCATCAATTTTAATCTGGTAAGATGGCATGCAGAAATTATACAATTTAAAATATGAAACCGTAATTTATGAAATACAGCAATTATGATCTAAATGGTGTCAAATTTTACAAAAAAAAAAGCTTAATATTTATTTGTTTACTTTATTAAACATTTCTTTCAACACGCGCATGCGTTATGTATGCTTTACGCATGCGCATGTTAATGCGAATGTATGCTTGTAATGTTACGAATGCTCATACATTATGTGCACACGTAATGTATGCGCATTCGTTACGCGCATGCATCAAGTTTGTAGCTTTGAGGTCCGGATTATAGATCATTCCAGATAATGGACGTCCGGATTACGGACTTTGTACTGTGTTATGTCGCGAATTTCAATTATTAATGTGTGTTTCAAGTCATTATTGTTCTAATATTTTTATTTGTATTCATGTGTGTTTTGATCTGGAAAAGAGTATTCTTGGGCTCTTAAGGTTTTATTTAGCTCATTGTTCTTGAGTTGGAATTGTGACAAAGGCGAGAGACGGTTGCGAGGACACACATCTGGTTTATGGCCTTTTCCAACCATGGAGGCAGTTGGGAGTCGTGTGTCACCCTTTTAACTCTTTGCGTGTGAAACGGAAATTGTTCTTTTTGTCGCTTTGTTAAAGTTTGCAGTCTTGCGAACTTCAAGACAGTGGGAGGTGTACTAAGTTAAATAATTGGATGCTCGTAAAAGCTAGTTTCACTTGTTAGTTGGGGGGTCTACTTCTTTTTCTCACGTTATGTGTGCAGATGTTTTTCGGATTTCATTGTTAGATTTTCTGGTGTTTGATTCGTCATGGGTGTGTCATTTTCTCAATTTAGATAACTTAAAATTCCGGGATTGGTAAGATTTAATTTTATGACTTTTTTTTGAAAGCCTATGAGCTCACAGAGGCAGAGAAACCGAAGATTTCCTGGGTGCTTTGCACCAGGCTAGAGATGCATTCTGTTTCCTGATTCTTTCAAGCTAAGAGTAAGAAAAAAGGAGAAAAGAGTGGGGGCTTGGACCCCTTTGCGGGTCTTGCTCTCGCGGGCGCCGGCTATTGCATTCAGATTTGGAGACATTTGAGTTACGAAGATGTAAGGCAGTAAAAGAAAAAGTTCGGTTGCGGCTTGACCTCCTGCGGGGGGGGGCTTGCGACTCGGTCTGAGGCGAGGTTTCTCGCCGCTTTCCCGCTGATGAGAATTTGTTCGCACGGAAGAAAGTGCTTCTACGCAACAATTTGATTTTTTTACCGTTTCATCGTGTATTTAGTGATCTTTGAATTGTCATGTTAGAGTCTTTCCAATTAGAATTGTTTGTCATAGACAGGAGAGATTGGTTACAACTAAGAAGTTTGTGCCAAAGGTGCTCTACCCAAAGTTTAGTTTCACCGCTTCATCGTGTATTTTGGAGAACTTGAATAGTCATGTTTGAGAGATTCCAGTTGAAGAAATTTGTCATGTCCCTCCATTTGTTTGAGCCAGGAGGCTTTTAAGAAACATGGAGTTTAATTGAATTTGGAGTTATTGATTTTCCCTTTACATAGGTTACTCACAACGCAAACCTAAAAGTAAATTGTACTGTACTACGACTATACGATTGATTGTTCGATATGTTATACGATTGATTGATAGATTTACTATGTTTATAAGATATATAAGATATATAAGATAATGTTTATAAGAATGATGAAATGATATATGAATATTATGATTTAGATAGATTTGTTTTGAATTATTTGATATTTAATGGTTTTTTTTTTTTTTTTTTTTTTTTTTTTTTTTTTTTTTTTTTTTGGATTTATCCGGCACCATGATTCCAAGTTCAAAGTACACAACAAAAATTTTCTAATTTATCCGGCACCACAGCAAAGTTGTCAGTTAAGTTTAAGTTATAAAGGAATAAGGTATATTAAAACAACAACATAAAATTTTTCTATTTAACATTGGTGCCGTGACAATTTTTTTTTTCTATTTAACATTAAAATTTTTCTATTTAACATTGGTGCCGTGAACAGGAGTTTTCAGATATAACATTGGTGCCGTGACCAGGATTTTTCAGATATAACAACTGTATATATATTCTTTAGATAATTGGCCATAGAAGTGGCTACTTATTAAAAAAAATCATGCTATTGTCTAAATTTTTTGTATTACTGACTTTTAATTTTTTCTGCTACTTTTGCACCACTCCATAATTCCAACATGCCATGCTATCTGGAAAACTGTATTTACATGAATCAAGTTTTATCGAAATCAAACCTCATATTCTGAATGAAATGTAACAATATGTGAAAGTAAACTTTCTGCACTGTTTTGCTAAAATGGCTGTTCAGATTACACTATCTGAAAATGAAGATAAATCATAAACTAATATAATTTTGAAACATATAAGAAATTTTATGAAAGATGGCTTTGACACCTTTGAAAATACTTTCGAGAACAGAGATCATATTTTTTATAACAAAATATTTCTACTTATAGAAATTAGGATATAAATGCACAGTATCATAGCCAACAAATTAAAAAATGAAACTGTTCACTAAGCATTATGCATATGATTATTATGGTATCTACTTTTGAAATTCTATACATATTTAAAAAATTCAATGATTCCATACCAGATACATGCATTTACACAGATCTTTTATTAAATACAGTAATGCTTTATGCTTAGATAAATTATTAGTTGCATAAAATAAAAGGTAAATATTTAAACAAATATTAACATGATAAAATCTGAAACTTTTTATGCTCTTGCTGAGCTCACAGTTTACCAATTTGCTTTTGGATGTACTTCTGCTAACACAATGTTTTTTCTCTTCAATTTTATCATTAAATATTGCTTTTCTTCTCAAAATTCAATAGCAAAAATCACATCATTTTTAAAAGCAGCATATTTTTATAACTCCTTTCCTCAGCCCATCCTATCAATGTTCACTGTTGAAACTCTCACCGACCGCCACGTAATTTGCGCATGCGCAAAGCAAAAAACTAAAAGCAAACTATAACTGAACTTTTAGAATTCGTGAAGGATATTTGAGTGATACATGTAATCCTTCTCTTCTGTGTTGTATATATATTTTAGTTTAACGATGTGAATTGTAAATTAAATATCTTATTATCTTAGAAGCCTCTCTTTTTGAGTGAGTTGTGCCTTTGATGAATGTAATTAATAAAAACATTCCTGGAGATATGCCTTTGGAACAAGAAAGAATATCCGACTAAAAGGTAAGCCTTTTCGAAGAATGATTATGCTGTTAATCATAACATGAACATTATATTTTTACCTTAAATTTGCTGAAAAATCAAATTTAAAATTCACTTTTCTTAACAAGATTACCTATGCAACTTTTCGTGTCTTTTTAACTTTATAATTAAACACCACTTTCTTCACACTTATACCACACCAAATTCAACAGGAAAATTACAATATTTTTAAAAGTAGCATATGTTTAGAATTCTTGATGGACTGTTAAGCATTATCATTATTAATATTTTCCTCTTTTTCCTTTCTTTTTTCTGTGTGTGTGGAGAGATCTTTCTAAGTTCAGCACTAAATATTCAAATTTTTTTGTGCAATAACTGACACAACTTTTTTTTTTGTATTTTTATTATTAACTTTATTTATTAAATATTACTTTCTTTACACCCATGCCTCATAAAATTCAACAGTAAAATCTTAAAGTACTTAAAACAGCTTAGCTTTAGAACTTTCAATAAACTGTTAAACATTGCCGTACATTGCCTTATATTTCTCGTATTATTTCTTTGAAAACATACATGGCAAAAACATTTCGCAACATCATACTTCTTTTGTGTTGTCATAAATCTTCTCATAGTTACTATTTTATATTTCTGTAAAGAATAAACAGCAATAACATTTGGTCGCAACACACTTTTATTAGAAAAGTGGTATGGCAAAAAAAAAAAAAAAAAAGGAAAATCTAAACTAACAGAACTTCTGGTGCTTAAAAAAAGAAGAAATACATTATAATTATTCAAATGGCTCTTAACAGAACCATTAACGGCTTTCAGATGATCAAAATAGTAAAAACAGTATTAAACAAATATTTGAATAACAGTATTGAGTTTAAAGAAATCTGCCAAAAATCCTTTAAAAATTATACTATATTTTATTAAATACAGTTTTTACAGACTGCTTCAAAATTTAAGTAATCAAAGACATAAAGAAAAATGTTAAGACTTTTCTTAACATATAAATAAATACCTAAATTTCAAAATTCATAAACATACCTGACCGGAACCAGAAGAAGTACTTTCGAGAAATTCTCCAACATTCATCTTTGTGCTGAATGTAAAATTATCACGTGAAATATCTGTGATTCCATTTTTAATTAGATACTGAAAATAAAAGTAATTGTCAAATTATGAATGCTTTAAAAAATCTAAATTAAAAAAATTAAAAGTCGAATTAGAAATACTTAAAAAATTATACTTAAAAAGCACATTAAAATTAAAAATTAGACATACAATATAATAATTAAGATACCCAACATTTAAATAATTAGGTAATAAATAATACATATTGATTAAATATTAGAAATAAAAATAATTGTCAAATTAGGATAACTCGAATATTTTTAGGCAAAGATTTCATAGCACTGTTTAAATGAAATGAATCAAAATTCTTACCCTCACAACTTCAGGATAACTGCGAAGTTTTTTACCACAGGGAGCATAATAGGAAACTTCACCTCTTACACCAGACCTACTGAAGCATCTGATTCTTGTTTCTCTTCTCCAACTATAACATTAGAAATAAAAATATTCAAAAAGAATTGTAAAAAAAAGTATCAAAACAAGATAGTAAATAGAAGAAACTAGTTTTAATCCATTCTAAAAACCGTTTAATTACATATAAAAATGATATTTATTGTTTTAAAACTGCTCAGTTTGTGAAACAACTATAACATCTTTAAATCTGAACATAAAGATTTTATGCCTTGCAAAATGGCAACAAAGACAAATGATAATATTGGAAAGTGTGTGATAAGTTGGAAAGTAATACTTAAATATTACTAAATACAACATATAATATATATATATGTGTGTGTAAAATATAAAGTATCTATCTTTCAAATAATAAATTAATAATAGCCCCTTTAACTTCAGTCTTTATTCTAAAAATAACAGAGCAATAATTTTTTTAACTAAACTCCCTGCAGTTCTGATGTGCACTTATCAATGAAATCTGAACCCAACATCTGGACATTAATCTGTCATGTGACCTGAAATGGAATTCAGTATAAAAGGTAACTGCATCACAACAACTACCCTTCTCTTTGCTTCTGGTTCTTTTCACAGTGTCACCTTGCCGCTAGCCACGGTCCATTGTTTAAGAAATGTAAGCTGTATAAAATTGTGGGGCACATAGCACACGCATAGTGATGATGAGCATTATCAAGGAATTAGATTATGTTTCCAAAATGAGCGGCCATGCCTATCTTCAAGTGTCGTCTTTCTAACTACGCAGTAAATCCTCTTCAAGCTATTACAATGTGGAATACCAATGCCAATCCATTGCAACTTTCCACCAAGTCATACTATTATTTATTTATAAATATTTTAAAAGCATTTTTAATTAGGAAAATGCAAAAGTTTGTTTCTGAACTGTTCATAACATTTCTGGAAATTATTTGACTAATGTCCCCTAATCTTAATATTTGCAAGGCATACCTCACTGGAAGAGAAACATGCCATTGTACAATTTTAAATTAAGGCAAAAAAGCAAGCTTAGTTTGTTTTAGAAGTTTTTGTTTTTTCAAGGAAAAAGAAAAAATTGCAAATTTTTTTTTGGGGGGGTTAGGGGGCTCCTGAAGAGGAATGACTTGTGTCTGATTGCCGTGAATTTCAATAGAGATATTCAAAATCTACATCAAACTAAGGTTGCTCTTTTTTGTGAAATTTTAAATGGTTCACTGAAATCAAAACTAAGCTGTTTGGTAATGTAACACCACACTTGGGGACATTTCTCTGTCACATGACAACTTTTATTAACAATTTTGAACTTATTTGCTGATTTTGCTTCAGTTTAGAAATTTTATTCTGTAATAATTTGATCATATTAACTGAATTATTGATTACAATAAGTGATGTGTGTTTCATGATTTTGTACACAAATGGGCAAGACTTCAGAATGATGACATTAACTGGTGTCTATTGCAGAACATGTTAGAATAGAAAATGTCTATCCTTCCCATACTGAGCATTTGATCAACAAGATTACAACAGTGAGTAACAACTACAGCTTAATACAGTCACGGACACTTACTCTTTCATACAGGATATTAAAAACACAACACTATATTCCACAAATGTTACTTCAAGAGGTAATAAAATTTGGTATGCACGTAAAATAAAAAATTTCTAAATCAAAAGTCTAACTTTTATTTGCAACAGCCTCTTAACTTGCCATTTTTGTACATATCTGTAAATTGCAACAAACTTCATCCCTGTCATATGATTCTTACATAATGTTCATGATGGAGAAGCTTTTATAATGCATCAGCGAATAATGATTTCAAATTCACAAATGTAATGAGACAAATATGTACTGAATCTAAATCATTCTGAAAGAGGATTTCATCTGGAACACTTTGCAATTTCTTTCTCATTTTTGTCCTGTGAACCTGCTCGCACTGTGACTTATTTTACTCCATAGCTGCCAACCTTGAAATCTAAAACCAAGTAAACTTGTGCAAAAACTGGAAGGTTTTCATGCTGCATGACTATGCCATTACAAAGGAACACCAAATGTACTTAAATTCACTTTATAATGCATGACTGATGTTACTAAACTATTAATAATATGATTCTCATTATAAAATATTTACTACTTTGATGAGGTATTGTAAATTTTATGCTCTGTGGCTAATTTCAATTTTTAATACTCTTACACTTCTACACAGAGAAAATCCCAAAAAGCTTTTATTCAAAAGTACTTCTAAACATGATGAAAATAAAATGAATAATTAATGTGCATAATACTTGTGGGCATAAACTTTATAATGTACAATATATTGAAGTAAAACAAAATTAAATACAAATATTAAAGGATTAAATGCTGCTTTATTCTTCATATAATATTACAGCAGATTAAGAAAATTTAAATCCAACAAAATTTCAGTAAAAAAAACATAATTAAATAAAATACAAAAACAGATCATAAAATGTCATAAGAAAAAATAATACAATTCTGATGAAATAAAATTTAATGATAAAATCTATTTTGAAATTGATTAGGGGTGAGAAAACAATTTAAGTTTCATTAATACAATAAATTTTATTTATTGTAAGAAAACATTTTCCTTAGTAAAAGCTAAAAAATTAAAAAGAGGGAAAATTCAATGATTTACCAAGAGACATTTGAAAAATCGAAGAATTCGCAATTACTTTATTCCAATGAAGTTCATCATTATGAATTATTGTTCGCAGCGTAGTTTACGACAAGGTTCATGTATAAAAAGTGCTCTAGGGCTGATATATAGGGCTATATCAAAAATTGTTTTTTGCACATCGCTATGTTGTTGCACAAATGTGATCAAAAATGAGCATGCAAACTGTACACATTGAACAGTGTAATTCAAATTATGAGTCTAAATTAAAATGAATAAATAAATAAAAATAAATCTTAAATCAACATGGCTGATAATTTCTTAAAAGCAACTACTTCTTTATGCTTTTTCTTACAATCTCACAACATATACGTATAAAATTTTAGTATCTCTTTAAGTAAAATCACATAATATTTTGTTTCAAAGATCCTCAACAAAAATTTGAGCGTTCATGAATGTGTCAATAATAAAATATTGCTCAATTTACTATTGAAGAAAGATAAGAATACATTATTGGTATTATTATGTACTTGTATTTCAAGAATTTAAAAAAAAAAAAAAAAAAAAAAAAACATTTAATATTTACCCGTGCTCGAGAGGAATCTGCACTTCTCTTTCATCGGGCAGAACACGCCTTCTTTTGTTTCTAAAATCTGTCAAAATATTTACTTAAATTTATGAAATATATTATAAAAAAAATTTAAGAATTTTCTACAATTTTACAAAGTAAATTTATTTAATTACCTGATTTATAACCATCACCCAGGCCCGCGCCAAGCCTAATCGGTGCCATTGTGCAAATGTTTAGCGAGCGCCTTCATGCAGTTACGATATTAAAGGGACATTGTTTATGGTTAACATTTAAAATGAAGCATTATTAACAGGATAATATGAAAGACCAAAAAAATTACATTTTATCTTCCAATTTGTCTAAATATGTAAACATTTTATGCTCTGTTAAAACGTACACTCAAACATGTATGTTTTATAAAGCTGCCCAACTGGTATAGTGGTTAGCGTTGCTGACTGCAGTGCTGAAGGCCCAGGGTTCGAACCTCAGAGAAGGCATGAATGTCTGTAAATGTATTGTCCATGCAGCATGGGGGCACTCTAAATATGTGAGGCAAAAGTCCCCTCGAAAGGTTGGTGGTAGGAGAAGAGGGGTGGGAGATGCTCGGACCCGTCCCCCTAGAATGCTCTGCATCAAAATGGGGGAGGGGCGGAACTGAGCTAAATCACACTGTCACCTGTAAGGTGCTCAAGGCTGTTGCCAACGACAGGCGTATCTTGAACTCCTTGCCATGAGTAATTTCGTGGGCTTGGGAGGTATAGGTCAGACAAGTGAGCATTAATCAACAACATGTTAAAAAAACTTAACACTGCAAGCCAAGGGAAATAATATAATAAAAGCCTTGGATACCAAATATATTGCTGAACACTATTTATTATCTTAAAATTAAAAACAAATTAATTTAGATATCCAATAAGTTTTCACTGAATAAATTATTGTTCGCAGCGTAGTTTACGACAAGGTTCATGTATAAAAAGTGCTCTAGGGCTGATATATAGGGCTATATCAAAAATTGTTTTTTGCACATCGCTATGTTGTTGACAATGATATAGCTGACAGTTTCAGTCCACGGTGCTACATTTCCTCAAAAAGTTAGCAAAAATTGCAGTTCATGCAAAAGATCTATAATATTTATACAGTCAAAAGTCATTAATCCGGACACCCATAATTCGGAATGATCTATAAAAAGCTACAAACTTTCTGTGCATGCGCCAACGCATAATGCGTTCACGCATGCGCATAGGCATTTACGCATGCGCGTAATACCTTTACGCTTGTGCATATGCAAGTGCGCATGCACATAATATGTTTATGCAGGCGCATTTAATGTATAACGGACGGTATAAGCTAAGCTAAAATTATCTAATTATCTATTTCAGTTAATGTTGCAGATTGCGTTGTTCCTTAATCTTCGAATTGAATCCGGCTTATTATTTTTTGCAGACTGTTAGAGTAATTTTATAAAAGTAAGCTTGAACTTCCGATTATGCCAAATAGAATTTCCGATGCTGGAGCTGTCAAAGGATCTACAAAGCGAAAGTATGTTTCAATGTCCATAAAACAAAAAGTGGAATTGCTGCAAAAAATAGATAAAGGCATATCCATATCCTTTGTTTCTCCAACCATTCCGAAATCTGTTTATCAATTTCACGCTGCTCTGCGGGTGGGGGGAGGACGCCGCGGCTCGCGATGAATTGGAAGTTGATCTGTCAGCACTATCCTTATCTTCATGGCAGATGTTTTTATTTTATTTGGCTTATAATTCCTTACAGCGGAACTTTGTAACTGAACAAGAAATTATGTCTGTTTATAGAATTAAAGAGAAAGTATTATCGCATAAAACGAAGCAACTTAAACAACTTACATTGAAAGAAATGTTTAATAAAGTAAACAAATAAATATCAAGCTTTTTTTAGAAATTTTGATACCCTTTAGATCATAATTGTTCTTTATTTCATAAATTACGGTTTCATATTTTTAATTTTAGAATTTCTGCATGCCATCTTACCAGATTTAAACTTATGATCTATATCCGAAAAAATTGATAATCCGGAATCGTCGAAGTCCTGACGAGTCCGGATTAAAGACTTTTGACTGTATAGCTTTGATTTTTATCAGTTAATGCTTTTTGCAGTTTTTGACATAAATTGAGTTGATTTTGTAAATATATGTGTACAAAAATATGTGATGCCGATACATATGGCTGGCGCCATAGACGCGATACACAGATTGCTTAGTCCTTATTTTCTGTCTACTGTTGCAATGGTAGTAAATCTTTTTTGCGATTTTTTTTGGTGACTGCTTGTTGTCATTGTTCTACATAAAAAAGGTAAGTGCAATTATATATTATGTTAAACTTAGGTTAGCATTTTAATTCAGAAAATTGATGATTTGAGGATAATTACTCTTTTTTTAGTCAAAAGGGACCTGAGTCCCGAAGGACTATTACTTTCATTTTGGCATTTTGCGTCGGAATCCTATAAACGTCCGTTCACTTTTCAAATTGTTGCCACCAAATGTCAGAGTCCTGCATTATATTTTGAAGAAATTAAATAATGAAAAATCTGCATAAATGTATGTATATTTCTTGCATTGTGATAAATAACGGTACATACAGCCATCGAATTTTTATGATGTAATCCTCCAACGAATATGGGCATGTGGAAGACCAAATTTGAAATTTGTTTTATTATTGATTTCTTATTTTGTAAAGCTTTAACAAATTTTTGATTAACAAACTCAAGGATTTCAAAGGGAGCAATGGCAACGTTGTGAACTGCTGTTGAACTGGATCTTTATGATTTAAGTGCAAAGAACATATTTAATAAAGAAAGGTAACACATAAAATGTTAAAAAATGCCCTTTTAAATGTAATTTAAAACGTGACACATTTAAGTTTTTTTAAATTTATTTCTTTATTATTTATTATTTTTTTTACATGAACCATTTGTTTATGAAACTAAAAATTATTATCTTTCGAGAAGAAAGGATTGACGTATTTACAGAGTACCACTGAATGAAGATATGAAGAAGTAAAAATATGCAAGCTATTCTGAAATCAAAAACTGACCATTTTCCGATTTTTAGCTATATGGAAAACCGAAGGAAAATGTTTCACTATTTCATTACATCTTAAATACATACTTTAAATTCGATTTATTTACTTTAATAAACCAAAGAGTACTACCATCTCCTTGAATTATTTGGTATTGATCTAATAGTTCATATATATTCCAAACAATATATATATATAAGATATAATCAGTTTTTCACAAGAAAAGTAAAATATTTCAAACAATGATTTTCTGAGTAATTTTAAGGAGTGTTTTATGCAATAGTTCTTATAATAGTTATTTTCTACTTTTATTTTTACTTCTGGTTTTTCTGTTTTCATTTTTCCCCAGATGTCGGAAGAAAAAAAGAAAAAAAAACTGAGTATCAGAATGCAATGAAGAAAAAGAGAGAGGAAGACTGAATAAACCAGAACTTTAAAATTACTCAATTTTTCCAAAACCCGAGAAATACCCAAGCTGACGCTACTAGCACTAGTTGTTCATCAACGTCTCAGCTGGCCATTTAGATTATCAAAAGAACCTAATAATCAGAAAGAGTTAGAAAGGTGTTTTCACCCAGGAATTACCTTTAACTTCAATGCAGCCGGTCAAAAAAAAAAAAAAAAAGAGAGAAGAAGAAGAAGAAATACTATTGAAATCTACACTTTCTACAGTTAGATACATATTTGCCTGTGCCTGATGATTCTGTATTATGCCCAAGTCCATCATTGCCAAGTTCAAGCCTTAATAGAAAATGGATCTGGATAACCTGGTTTCGAGTTTAAGTTCCCAAAAGACAAAAATGGATGTAAATATTTTTAGATGTACCTTTGTCGAATCTTGCCAAATAACAAAATAGTTAAAAGGGATTAGTTGCTAAATTCTGCTGAAACAATTTCTGTTTATTGTTTTTGTTACAAAATGTTTTACAGTTTCAGCAATGTAAAACTGAGTAGTTCTGAAATTAACAACTGGAACCATTTAAATGAGCACTTAAAACTTCATGAAAAAAATATAATGCATTTCTGGAATCTACATCTTTGATCCGATTTCTTAGAATGATTACGAAAGAATAAACTTGTTGATTCGGAATTTCAAATTTTATTTTAAAAAAAAAGACTAAGCATTGGCACGACGTTATTGAAAGAATTATCTATGCCATTCAGTTTTTAGCCAAACAAAACATAACCTTCCGTGGTTCCAGTAACAAGTTATTCGAAACAAATAATAATTTTTTAAAGTATACAGAAATTATCACAAAATTTTTTCCTATCATGTCTGTATATATTTATAAAATTCAAACTCAAAAAGGTATGCTTCATTATCTTGAAGACAAAATTCAAAATGAAACAATTAGCTTATTAGTGGATAATATAAAGCAAATTATTTTAAGTTAAGGTCAAACAGGCAAAGTAATTTTCTATTTTACTTGATTGTACCCCTGATGCCAGCCATCAAGAGCAGATATTAATTTATATGAGATACCTTAAATTAGAAAATACACACGAGTATTGAAGAAAAGTTTTTAATATTTTGTGTTTCAGCAGATACAACTGGTGAAGGACGAACAACATTCTTATTAAAAGACATTAGACGAAAATGGTTTAGATATTAGTAATTTATGTGGCTAAGAATACGACAATGGTTCAAAGATGAGAGGTAAACAGTTTTCGAGTAACTATGCTCAAATCGTTGCTTTTCCAAATTAAAAAGCTAACCTAAGTTTAACATAATATGCAACTGCACTTACCTTTTTTGTCTAGAAAAACTATAACAATAAGCAATCACAAAAAAAGATGAACATTGCACAAATTACTACTATTGCAACAGTAGACACAAAATAAGGATTAAGCAATTTGTCGAATGCATCTACCCTACATAAGCATCAGCATCACATGTTTTCCCATTCAAATAAGCCAGAAGGGACGATCTCCTGCCCTGGTTATAACTTTTGGTCAAATAAGACAGTGTGCTAGGATAAAGGGGCACTCAGATTTGGATAGCTTGAGGCTTCCTTTACACAGTTAATTGCCCTAACCCCTAGAGGAGACCACTAACTAAGCCACTAACCTATCGGTCGAGCCAACGAGCTAAGACTAAGCTGAGTTGACAGGAATACTTAGCAACTCACTTTCCATGTCCCCGTTCTTTAAGGATGGTAAAAACATCTGCCATCAACAGAGGCCCCAACCCCGGACAGCAGAATGAAGTCACTTGAACACTGACAGACAGACCGGGCCACCAATCCAGCCTGTTAACACTACATCATGGTACACAGATGTCGGTTTTAGATGTCCCCCAAGGGGAAACCAAGGAATGATATGAATATGCAGTTTTTAGACTCCAGGTGCCACCTCAAGCAGTTTAAAGGCTCTCTGAAATCACAAACTCCACCAACGAGGGGTGTTTTGCCTCGGACAACCATGAATATCAGAGCTCAACCACAACCAACAGAACAGGGGAGAACGCCATATTGTCCCTGCCGAGCCTGAAACAGCCATTGCTAGCAATGACACCAGTCAAGTGTAGACTGATTTTAAATACCTGTGGCCGAAACTACCTAGGTACAGATCCTAATCAGTAGCTTTCCAGGTTTTAATTGACCCCCTGAGGAGCATTCAAATAAGACAAGAATTTTCCTGTTCAGATAGGCAGAGAGACAAAATTAATGGTTGCCAGGCACTTTTTTGACTCGGCGCCGTCATGCTAAGCACGACCTTGCACCTATTGTCGGCGCGGGCCTGCCATCACCCAAGAATAAATTATTAAAAAGACATGTTTATTTTCATAATAATACTATGATTATAACTGTTAATTATACACATCAAAGTGTCATTTTCATTAGCTTAAGGAACAAAAATTTAAACAGGTAAAGTACATAAAAAGCTTAAAACATTGAAATTGATTAAAATTTTAATTTAAATCACAATGATTAAAATATTAATTATTTGTTAACTAAAATAACAATTTACCGTCGCCGTCCTCATCATATGATCGTTTACGCCTACGTCCAGTCAACGCAGATGCACTATCTGCTAAGCTTCCAGAATGTTCGGTATCTTCACTATCAGAATTTTCTTCATCAGGATCAGAATCTAAAAACAGAATGGCTTCATTGTATAACACTTTAACATTGCTACATATTACTAAACTGTACAAAGTATTGTGTTTCTTCTTAAAACTTTTTTCACTCATGACTCCTCATGACAAAGAAATAGATATAAAAATTAATATTTTCCCATAAATAATTTATAACTTTGGCAAACAACAGTCATACCAAAAGTCGCAGCTTCAGAGTTTGTTTCAAGTATACATAAATTAATAAAAGAAGATAACATTTTAATGAGCCGCATGTGCTTGTTTTTGCAGCATAACTATTTGACAGTGTTGAATGTAAAACTTGTGTGTTCAAAATTTTTCACTGTTGATTGATAAGTGCATTTAAGCTGAAAACATTGTTTCAAGTAAACATGTGATTTCGACTGGCAGTTGAGAAATTGTGGGCAATTCAGGTCGAGCTCCAATTCAGAATTCAGTCAAGGATTTTTATGGAAATTCAAGTTTAAAGTTTGAGTCACCTGGTAGCTCAACAAATTCCTTTTTGCCTTTATAACAAGACAGGTGATTAAGCTCTTCAATAACACATACAGGATAGTTTTCATTTCAAATACAGATATGTAACTTACTTCACAAATGACTCCAGATTTCTGTAACAAATGTTAGTCTGCAATCAGCCTTCAAAGCCAATTATTTACAAATGTTTTCCCAAATTTTAAGTAAATGATAAACACATGCAGATGAAGTCATAAGGAATGCTATTTTAGTTTAAAAATAATCAGTTTCGTTCAGTTACTTAGCTTTTCATCTTCCCTCATTTCCATTTCCTGCCAAAATGATAATTCAGTTTTCTGCGCTATGCAAATTAGGGTAGAAAGACACTATTTAAGCTTGTGTCTGAGTTACTCTGAACAAAATGTGTTCTACGATTTGGCCATGTTGTTTTGCTGATATTCAAACTTGCTATTTTACGGTTGTGCATTTTATTTGCAGGTTTCTGTAAATCCGTGGTAGGGCTAAGAGCTGACTTGTGTTAATTATCTCTGTGCAGGTTCAGCTGATTTTTTACAGAGTAACTAACACATAATAAATTAACATTAAGCTAACCAATGTAAAATGAACTAATAAAAAAATTTTCCATTTTGTTAGATTGTTTTTATGACGATGTAGAGTCAAATTCCATTTTATTTTCTAGTCTTTCTAAATAATTATGTTGTTCTGCTCTTTTTCTTACTGACATAAATAAACTGTAATTTAGAGTGAGAATTTATTTAAATTCACAGGCATGAAAGCAAATCTCATATCAAGTTTACAAGAATGAATACATAACCCCCTCCCCCAAAAAAGAAATGGTAATAAGAAAAAAGAAATATCAGTAACCAAACAAAGGTTATTGTACGCACATGGATGAGGCTATTTAAATCACACAGAAAATTAAAATATTTAAATTTGAAACATAACAATGCTGCATACAAATCAAAAAGAAATATACTTGTAATAATAGAAATAAGTCAAAAATTAGCTTCTTCAAAACCTATTTCTTTGGACTGTTTTTTCCCACAGTTTTATGCACTGTGGAAGAAACTCACCAACCCTGATGTTAAGATACAAAAAGCACAAATTTTACTTAAAGAAAAGACAGTATTTGTCTTGTGTAATGGCCTTGGCAAGACAGTGGATTTAGCACATTTCTGCATTGGCAAAACACAAAAGGTTACCAATCTGCATATGTGAAAGAAAAAAATGGCTTATCATCTCAATGGTTTTCATGACTGCACCGTGTCAATACAGCAGTTTTCACTGTAAAATACTCATTATGTTTGCTATTTTTTTATCTTCCATCGACCAATAATAATAATAATAATAATAATAATAAAATAACTATAATTCATGTTTGAGGCATTTTTAGCTGAAATTTTGAGGCTTTTTATGCTGAAATGTGAGCATATGGAAGGTCTGAAAAAAATTGATTTTCTGATATGTTTATGAATATTTCTCCCTACAAAACCTATTTTATAGGGAGTTGTAGGGAGTATTTGTTATATTTGCATTAAATAAAATAATAAATAAGATTTAAATAAATAAGATTTAAATAAATAAGATTTTCCAGCATGTTTACACGTTATTTTAAATAACTTGATTATGTATTTATGTTAAACATAATTAATGCATATTAACATATTAAATGAGTTCTACAGCATAATGTTGTCATTTTAAGTAAGCTGTTGAAAAAATTAATTAAATACCATAACAAATAAAAATTTGTATTAAATAACTATATAGATAAATAACTTAGAATGAATACTCAATTTATCATTCAATACGGTCAAATGTGTTTTGTGGATGTTTTTAAATTTTGGTAACAAATCACATTTTCTTGAGCCCAAATTGCAGCAAACCCACTTCTCTTGTCAAGGCATCTACAGAAGATAAATACTGACAAAAAGTTAAATTACAGAGATGAAACTTTAAGTAGGACATATATAAATAACACAACAAACCTGAGGGTGAGGATGTTTCAATTTGAGATGGAGACTCAGATTCTTTAATTTTGTCATCGAATTTCTTTACTTTGTTGCTATTCCTTGGCCGATCTTTATTTTTCATATTTTTATTGCTAAATGATGAACTAGGAAACAAGGCAGTGTCATTCTCAGGAAGTTGAGGTAAGGCATCAAAATTGCCATTCGTTTCACTCAATAAACTGTCTAAAGTGAAATTCTTCCTCGGGAGAGGAGCAATATCACTGGGACTGCCCAATGTATTTGGTGCATGCACTTTAGGACAAGAACTGGAACTTCCCAGTTTTGCTAGTGAAGGATTTGGAATATGTGCAGGTAACACATCTACTTTTGATGGCGTTAGTAAACTTGCTATGTCTTTTATGGAGTGCTAGAATACATATACAAATATTTTTCTTAAGCAGTAGGTAAATAAAGTGTCCCAATTTAAAGAAAAAAATTAATTAATGAAAAGTAAAATAAAAATTATTAAATACATATGTGTATACAAATACATATTATTCTAAGCAAGCATTTTCATTTACAATTTTAACCGTAACCAATTTTTACCACTTGAAAACAGACAGAGGAAAAATACACAGTGCCTACTAACTCTTGAAGACATGGCTTAAATAATAAGCATACAACATTAAAAAGCAAACACAAAGAAACACTAATATTTTCATATTATGCATTTCAAAGTATTTATCTTGTAAAGTTTATCCTGTTTTTAACAGGAGTTAACCTTTAGTTAAAGCTATTTTCCTGTTCCTCCTAATTCCAGCTTAAAATTTCCTACCAGAATGTGTTTTTAGAATCCCGTTTAATGCAAATCAGTAAGAGTGGTATTTTAAGTTCCACTAACTTTGCTAGAGAGCTTCAGAGTTTCTGATTAGCACGTGTTCACCTTTTGGCTATATCTCTCTAAGCTATTACTACGCTCAGTCGTATTTCAGGCCCTCGGTAGCTTGCTAGCTTATTCGATATTTAGGGGCCAACTACTTAGAATCTTCATAGTCTCGGTTATATCATTAGTTAAATTTTAGTTCTTATATTACTTTAAGTTCAAGCCCAAGGGAAAGCTTTGCTGTATGCTCTGAGAAAGGAGCCAACTGTTCAATTCTTATTTTGAATAATACAGGGTAATTAACTTTTCTTGAGCTTTTACTCCTCTGTTCCCAAACTCAAGTGATTATTCACTCATCTTTTCATAAGGTTCCTACACATTTAGCTGTTAGATAAAAGAGTGAAATCCCACAGTGTATTTCAATAATATACTTTTTGCTTACATAAAATACTTTCCTATTTGTGCACGTATTTTACATTGTTACTACAAATCAGAATCATATACTGAAAAAGCTAGGTGAAAAAACATACGAGGGGGGACAAATGTGCAACAAAATATGATATATTTAAACAGCATTTCTTTGCTAATTACAAAATTAATTACTTTAGTCTCTGTTTCTTCATCAATTTTCATTCATTAAATAATATTTAAGTCATTTCAAATTGCACAATTAATATATATATATATATAACAAATTTAAAAAGCAATATTTGAGTGAAGATGGTTATGCCACTCGGGAGAACTATGTTTATGTTCCTTATACAAGGTTCCGAACTTTGGAGGAATTTAGTCAGGCTTTTATTTAGCTGTTCAGTTTTTTAGTTAAAGAATATAAAAAATGACATTTATTCAAGTTTGGGTATTTATCAATATTTCCTATACTTTTTGTTATTTAATTTATAAAACACATTCTCTGTCAATGTCAATCTAATTAAATATATATTTCAAGTTTTGGAAAGGAGGAAGGGGCATGACTTTCTACTGATGGTGAAAAGGATGCAAGGAGCAGAACAGGTTGAGAACCACTGCTATAATAGATTCATAAACTAAAACATTTTTAACATTTTTATTGTTGAAAGAAGATAAATTTATATACAAGATGAACTGCATTTGACACTTTAAAACTCGGAACATGAAACACGCTTTATTGGGCTAAGGTGAAACAGGAAATGAAACTAATTTTTATGGCAAGTAAACAACTAGTTAAATAAATCAAAGGCATGGCTAAATAAAAAAGGCAGGGAAAGTGTAATCTTTAAAAGAAGCTATGTATGAAAAAGTCACTACAATTGCATTGAAGTAATCAAGAGCTTTCAATTTAGGATGAATTTTTCATATTAATAAGCAGAAAACAAAAAGAAACACAAAAGATTAAAAAACAAAAAAACCACCAGTAATGTCTACAAAATGATAACCAACTATTAACAAACACAAATAATGATGAACACTGAGATAATTCTATTTCAGCTAATTTAAAATATGCAATAAATGATCTGGAACACTTTTTTAAAACTTTCCTCAAAACTGTGATACGGTACAAAGTCTGAGATCCAGACTTTGGCGATTCGGGAGTTTTCCAGCATATTAGATCATCAGTTTAAATCTAGTATGATGACATGTAGAAATTATAAAATTTTTTAAAAATGAAATCATAATTTATGAAATAATGAAGTACTTATGATCTAAAGGGTATCAAAATTTACGAAAGAAAAAGTTTAATATTTATTTTTTTATTTTATTAAACATTTCTTTCACTGTAAATTGTTTAAGTTGCTTCATTTCTGTGCTACAGTATAAAGTCCGAAATCCTGACGTCCACGATCTGGAATGACCTAAAATACGAACCTCAAAACCAACAACAACGTTTTTCTCTTAGGCTTTACGCATGTGCATTTGATTCTCCCATCAATGCATAATAAAAAATCTGGAGAGTCCCGATTCTTAATTTAACTTCGACACCTTGTTATTGAAGAAACAATCATTTTAGCATAAATTTGTACAGTCAGTAATTTGGCTCCGTTGCTGCATATCTGCTTGGCACACATCTCAAACCAAAACATTCCACATAGATACATCGTTGATCTGACGCCAACATGGTGAACCATTGTTTATTAAACTTTCCTTTCATCACCGCATGTATATCAAAACATAGCAACTTGAGTAACGACTCATGTAGCGATGCGTAGAAAATTTTTTTATGTTAGTAATTGAACAATAAAGGAGTATGGTAGCCTTTTATGTTGACATTATGCTTGACATTGGCGATGATTACAGATTTAAGTTAAATGAGTTAAAAAATGTTGATGAGGAAAAATTTAACAATAATTTCTTTCCATATGCTAAAAATAGATTTTGTTGGTGATACTCACAGACCCAAAGATTACATTTAGGGCTATTTGAATTAAGCATAACTGATCTGTTATTCACAAAAACCCAGAACCAGCACCAGAGCTCGTATGGGCGCATCGAAAATTTAGGACCCACAGAGATAGCATCAGGCAGTAAGACATCTAGCACTGGCCCTCAATAAGCTTAAGTACATGTGGGAATTTATTTATTCAGAACTCTGATAAGCCTTCAGCATGATCAAGAAATAGACATAAGTATAATAAATAAATAAACTAATACAATTCAGGCTTAATTGTCTTAGTGTGCGATAGAAGGAAGATATAATTTAATGGGAACAACTTGTTGTTAGTTGCCAAGCTCATGATACATAGCCAAATATGTATAGTAAAGGATAGCTAAATTTGATGATGATAGCTGCCAATTTTAAAGGGTTTTGGATATTGCAAAAAAAAATTTTTTGTGAAATTTTCCAATTAACGGATTTTGTAAAGAAATGAGGAGAAGCCGTAAATAAATGAAGATGATATAAAAGAGGTTTTTCATTGTGATGACAATGCTTCTCAGTCATCAATCAATTAATGAATGGTGAATTTTGTAGTATGGTTCTAGATCTAAAAGATATTGCTACCAATAGTGAAGAAAGTGACAGAGAAGTTACTGATAACAAGAAAATTTCGATTGACAAGTTAGTTAAAATTCTCGAAACAGCAGTTACAGGATTTCAACAATGTAATTAAACAAGAAATGATGTCTGTCTACAGAATTAAATAGAAAGTATTAGTACAAAAAATGAAGCAACTTAAACCACTTACATTGAAAGAAATGTTTAATAAGGTAAACAAATAATTACTAAGCTTTTTTTTTTTTTTTTTTTTTTTTTTTTTTTGTAAATTTTGATACCCTTTAGATCTCAAATACTTCATTATTTCATAAATCACAATTTCATATTTTTAATTTTATAATTTCTACAGGCCATCTTGCTAGTTTTAAACTAATGATCTAATAATCAAGACCCAATAACACACCGAGCAAATACTAATTCAGAACTCAAACAACAAAAATCAGCAAATTCATTTTCAAATTTATTTTCAAATTTTCACAGGACTAGTTTCAATGGTTTTACCAAACCACCATCCTCGGCTGCAAACGCACAAATGAATGAGATAAGATATAATGATTAGATAAGATAAAAAAGCCTGGACAGAAAATAAGCTTGTGGTGCCATCTGTTGATGAAACCAGAACTAAAACATAATTTCTTCAAAGGCCGAAGGCAAAGATGGATTGGAATTAGGACCTTTAACTAGAACGGAAAAAAAAAATTAAATGTGAAATGCCTCTAGAAAATCCAGTTCTCCAGGAAGAGTTTTTTGAATAATTTGGCAGCGAAAATTCAAGTGTATTTTGTGGGCCAAAAATTCTGTTTCCTTTCTACATATGCCGTTCCTTGACGAAATTTTAAGGCTCCTTAGTTTGGCCAATATACGAGGGCTATCCAGAAAGTAGATTACGTTTTGGAATAAAAAAATAAACAAAGTATAGGAAACAAATTTTATTATATACAGATGAAAGCCACACTCAAATACTACTTTTCTACATAGTCACCATACAAATTAAGGCATTTATCGTAGCGATGTACGAGCTTGGAAATTCCTTCGTCGAAAAATTCGGCCGCCTGCGCCTTCAACCACTTCGTTACCTCTTCTTGCAGCTGTGCGTCGTCATCAAAACGCTGCATAGCCAGCCACTTCTTCATTGCTGGGAATAGGTGGAAGTCGCTCGGTGCCAGGTCGGGACTGTACGGCGGATGAGGAAACAACTCCCACTTAAAAGATTCAAGAACTTTACGAGTGACATTTGCCGTGTGGGGCCGGGCGTTGTCGTGAATCAACAAGATCTTAGAGCTCAACATTCCTCTGCGCTTGTTGTTTTGAATTGCTCTTCTGAGTTTTTGGAGAGTTTGGCAATACCTTTGAGAGTTTATTGTAGTGCCTCTTTCCAGGAAGTCCACCAAAATTACACCTTTTCTGTCCCAAAAAACAGTCGCCATCATCTTCCTTGCCGACATTGTTTGCATGCATTTCTTGGGTTTTTGGGGAGAACTTGTGTGCCCCCACTGCATTGATTGCAATTTCGTTTCACAGTTCACATGTTTCACCCATGTTTCGTCACCAGTAACGATGCGATCGAGAGTAAAGAGTCACCATCCTTATGGTAAGCGTCCAAAAAGTTCAACGCTGCAGCCATTCGCTGATTTTTGTGGTCCTCTGTCAAGATTTTTGGAATCCATCTTGCACAAAACTTGTGGTAACCAAGCTTTTCGCTGATGATTTCGTGCAACAAACTTCGCGAAATTTGTGGAAAACTCAAAGAAAGTTCCGTTATTGTGAAATTTCGATTTTCACGGACTTTAGCATCGACTTTTTCGAGAAGTTCGGCGGTCACTATGCTGGGTCTCCCACTTCGATCTTCGTCGTGAACATTGGTTCGGCCATTTTGAAATCTTATGACCCACTGACGCACTCCACCTTCAGTGATAATGTTGTCCCCATACACTTCACGAAGCTGCCGATAGATTTCTATCGGTTTACAGTTTTTTGCAGTCAGAAACCTTATTACTGAGCGCACCTCGCAGCTCGCGGGATTTTCAATTAACGCAGACATTTCAAACCGTCACAGTATCTGAACGGAGCACAGCACGAACCTCTCACTAGCACGGCTAGATGCAGACTGAGCTGCGCAACGCTCTGACCCCAAGATGGCCGCGCTAGCCCCGCCCCTAGCGGACACAGACGGAAACGTAATCTACTTCCTGGATGGCCCTCGTAAATTAAACCACACTGGCAAGGAATCCCATAAATACCTCAGGAATTCATATCTGGAATGGGGTCCTTGAGTATGGAACTCAAGTATGGAACATGCAAATAAATAAATAGAGCTGAAGTCTGGATTTTAGATCATTCTGGAAGAATTTAGACATCCAGATCTCCGACTTTGTACTGTATAAAATGAGTTTTAAAACAACACTGCATCTAACGATCAATGTCCTATTTTACTGGATCCTGGAATCTTCAAACAAATTGATTCATTTTAAAGTTATAAAAACAAGATGCATATGATTGCATAAAGAAAATCAAATGATCTCTCTAACAGTACTGCATTCTAAGGGCAGGAACTATTTTATAAGGGCAGGATATATTGTATACAAAGGCAGGATATATATTTCCTGCCATCAGAATAGAGGAAATAGAGAAAAACAGAAAAAAAGGATAATTGGGAAGGGGGGGAATACCTAATTTAAGACTGTACAACCATTGCAATATCATCATTATAAAAAGTAAATACAGTACAAAGTCTGTAATCCAGACGTCCATTATCTGGAATGGTTTATAATCCGGACCTCAAAGACACAAACTTTACGCATGCATGTAGAGAATGTGCATACATTACGCATGCGTGTAAAGAACGAGAATACATAATGCATGCACGTAATGTATGCTTTACGCATGCACGTGTTGAAAGAAATGTTTAATAAAGTAAACAAATAAATATTAAGCTTTTTTTTTATAAAATTTGATACCCTTTAAGATCATAATTTCTCTTTATTTCATAAATTACGGTTTCATATTTTTAATTATATAATTTCTGCATGCCATCTTACCAGATTTAAAATGATGATCTATAATTCGAAAAAAAAACCCTAATCTGGAATCGCTGAAGTCCCGACAAGTCCGGATTACGGACTTTGTACTGTATTTTTTATTAACTTGAGCGATCACGTATGAAACAGTCAGATCAGTGATTACCAAGTCTGAATGCTTTTAAAAGCTACTGAACTGAGTCTTTTGAATTACATATTTTATTACATACATACAGAATAAAGAAATATTTTGTTATTCGTTTACAAAAATCTGGAAAACTAATTTCCTCTTCATTTCAAATGCATGCACTTAAACTCTTTTCAACAGAGTGAAGTATCAAGCATTTTAAAATGAATAAAGCACTGCTTTCCATCAAAACAAGAATCTGAACATAATGAATAGAAAAATGTGACTAACTCTTTTGATCTGGCGCACCTTTTCAGGCAGAGATGAAATAGCATTCCCTGGGGTTTGAGCTACTTTTGGTTTGCGTCCCCGCTTCTTTGGCATCGTCATTTTGTTAGCACCTGTGACATTACTACCCGTAGTTTGAAATTTATTTTTTTTAGCTGTTGAAGAAGTAGTAGCAGTGGTTGTACTTGGCATGTAAGAACTGGCAATAGAAGCTGTCACTTCAAATGTAGGTTCCTGTTTTTTCATACAAAGATCCAAAGGAAAGGATAAATTTGGCTCTTCTTCAATAACAACATCACCGCACAAACCAGAATTGACTTCAGGAGACACAGTTTTGGATGGTGTTGGTAAAACTGGAGAAGAATGAGCAGGACTAGGAACTGGTTTCACTGTGTGGTTGAGTGGGCCACTTGAAGGCAGTGAGGTTTTTGGAGTTGCAGATATCTTTTTAATCTGCTAAGAAAAGGATTTAAGTTATTTTAATAACACATACATACACATGACAAGGACTTTAATCAAAATAATAAGTTATATAAGATAATCTCAAAATATGCAGTCGCCAAACTGGAAATACGAACACTACGAAAAATATACACCACACTGTGTTGCCACTTGAAAAGATCTCCATACTGGCTTAAATTTGCTTTATAAAACAGGATTCAGATTATTGAATTATTTTATTGTGATGATATGGTTCTGATGTAAAATATATTAATATTTAATTAATCTAAAATTTATGTTCTTATGCTAATTTCATTTTATAATTTTCTTACCCTTCATATTGAGAAAATATTTAGCACAGAAGGAGAGCTTTTATCAATTAATTGTGTGGAAACAACTTGGTAATGTATTATATATTTATGGAAAACGAAATTAAATACAAATATTAGCTGACTAAACATTACTTTGTAAAGGTCTACAAATGATTAAGTTAATTCAAGTAAAATGAAATTCAATAAAAAAATCTGACGTGTACACCACATGACTTCCTCGCACGGAATATTAAATTATATGCATTTTTTCTTGCATTTCATTTAAACTTATTGGATTAAATTAAATCTACTTCGTCGATAAAGCATAAACCACAACAGAATAAATGCACTCTTTAAAATTCACTATATTTGTTTACTATAGCAACACTCTGGCGCTAGGTTCACTTAACAGCATTACATTTCATTCATATTATTATAACTCAGAATGCATATAAATTTATATCACATGAAGAATTATCTAATCGTTGCCACATGTTCTATTCAAATACTATAATAAATCTAGAACAATGTATAAAATAAATTAAGCAAAGAAAACAAAAAAGAAACAGTTCTTAACAGACGGTTCAGTATTTGCCATTCAATTAATTCAGTTCTCACTTCCTGACAAGCAAAAATACATAAATATTCAAATATCTATATTCAAAATTACGAGGTAAATCTTAAACAGTTATTTCCTTGAATAAATTCTACAATGGATTAAATATGATTTAATTTGCAATAATTAAAGAAGGTGTTATCTTTGTTGTTGCGAAGCTTAGTTTCTCTAGATTGGCAACAAATCCACTATTTTGCCAAATTTGAAATGTAAACAAACATGTCTGTCATCGCAAAACTAATTAAGCTTAGCTGCACTTAAACAACTTTTTAAATTGTTGATAACTCCACAAATATAGCATGCAGATTTACTAAAGGCATAAAAACTTAACTGGAAGATAAGAACAACATAATTCAATCATTTTTAAAGCAGAAAATGCACAACTTACAAACATATAAGCGTCAAGAAACTGAGATCACTGAACCGGTTAACAGAGTTGCTATATATACATATATTTATATACGTTTGGTGTGGCCAATTGCAATTAAAATATGAGGTGCACATCTACATGTTATAGCAGTCCTATATACAAAATTTCCACGTTCTGAGGCTACTAGTTTTGAGTTATGTGAGATATGTATGCACAGATGCCACGAAAAATTCTCTTCAGAATTCCTTTTAAATCAGTTTTATAATTTTTTGGGTGGAAAAGAGTCGTTTATTCTGTCCTTACGTAGAGATGTCATGCAAAAACATCATTAAATTGCGTTCGATAGCGGTCGAAATGGATATTTTTGTTGAAATATGATGCCTGAAAATTTTCGTAATTATAATACTTCCTTCTTACTTTGTACAAGGAAGTAAAAATTATGCTGAAAGTCACCAGAAATAGTGGAATAAATTTGCACAATTTAAATTTCACTATTTCAATACATTACATTCAATGCTAAAAAATATTCCTTAGTAAAAGCTAAAAATTAAAAACTGGGGCAAATAAATCTTCATACTATACTCTGTTACTTTAAAATATGCATTTTAGGGCATTGATTCTCCCCTCCCCGATTTGTGATCATTACTTGTGTCATCATCACTACACAGCATTTATTCTCTCCACATCATCTGAGGATGTAGTCAGCCTTCATTTGTAGAGTCAACCTTCATTTGTCAAATATCTTTGTATGCAGTCGAAAGCTAATTTAGATCTGACAACCTATGTTTCAAATTTAATCACTTAGAATCCATTTTTATTCTGATCTTGTTTAAAAAAAAGTTATACAATCTAGTCTCAATTATCTGGACTAATGCCAAGAAAGTATGTAACGAATAATTAAAAAAAAAAGGATAATCCATCCAAATTGTAAATTTTCATGCATACTATATATATATATCTCTTAAAAAAATCAGTAATTACTATGTTTTTGAGAACATTTAAATAATTGTCAAATTTCACTGTATATTTTTTGAAGTGCTATTTTATCATTACTGTCTTTGTCGATGAAGTTCAACAGAGTTGCAAAAGTCATTGTTGTTTTGAGATTGTAATGTCAGCATCTTCTTTAATCATATTTTCAGTGCCACTTTCTGTCTCTTCTGTTTTTGTGACATTTGAAATAATATATGCATCACCCCCACTTTGAAAGACCGGCTCAGTCAAATTGCCATCGAACCATTCCTCAATGTTTTCCCAATCGCTATTTAAAATTTTTTGCACAGAACTTCAATTGTTGCCTGGATTTCTTAACATTAAGTAAATTTATGGTTTCTATATATTAAGAAGAGTTTTTCTCCATGATCAAACCAATGTTATTGATTTTACTTTTAACCACGCTTTTGCTACTCTTACCCACAGCATTGAGTGTAAGCACCTAACCACAGATAATCCACACCTGGATAATCAAAAGCACACTGTATTTGACTAACTAATAATGATAGTTTTCTCAATATTAATTAAAGAACACATATTTAAAATAAAGAAATATATTAACCAAAAGCAAAATACATAAATTTACAACTGTATAAGTTTTTATTAATTTATTCAGCTATCTCATAATTAAAAATTAAAACCATGTAGCAGTACTTTAATCCATAATATTTATTTGTGTACAGTGCTACCAAAGCCAATGTAGCATTTTATAATATTAACTTATGATCATATACATAATCTATTTTATGACAGAATTGACTGATGATGATGCTTTGCAATTAGTTTTAAATGCCCGAATAATTCAATATTTTACTGCATTATAATTTGGTTCAGAGCAGAACTGAAACATGCTGAATGGAAATGGGGAGAAAAAGTGAAGAGACTCAAAACAGTTTTCTGCAGCAATTGTTCAAATGATTATCAGTCACATCAGATATAAAATAACCTTGAAACTCCTATTTTAAAGTAACAGATTATGGCGCAAAAGTCAACTGTACAATACAAATATATGCTTATAACCAAAGACAAATCATCAAGCTATCTCATACAGAAATATGTTAAATAAGAGTTTAAGATGAAAGAATCCATTTCAGAGGAAGATGAATATAGAAGCCACCTTTTTGTCCCAAAAAGGTGGCTCAGGAAGTACAATAATATTACACCTACAAAGAGAAGAAAAGATGCATCACAAGCATTGACATGTTAACCTGGTATTTGAATCAGAAACTAATACTAAAATATTTGGCCTTTGCCAGTCATCAAATCAGATCACAACATAAAAATTAATGTTTTATAGCTGAGCTGGCAATTGTGTATTGAATAATTTAATGTTTTTAACATAAAACACATGGGTAGTTCGAGATTTAAACTCATACTAGATTGAAATAAAGATTAGTAAAATTACTTAACTAGGCAAAACATATGAACACTATCAACCAAATCTGATTCCAAATTTGACCTAGACAATCCAGAAGACTGGAATCAGAAATTCTCAAATCCCCGTACCTCTAACACAAACCCACTGAAAGATTGAAGTGAAAAATAGAAAAATTACAATTAAAATTCATCTAACCACAATTGTAAGGGTAAAATGACACATAATATATTCTATGGGCACACAAACAAAATTCTCTTAATTTTCCTGTATCAAATCTAAACTGGTAAATAAAAAAAATTTGAAAAGCATCTGACGTTCATATTTACCAGTACTTTCATAAAACAGTATTAAAATGCATAAAGTTAGATATATGGGACTGCAATTCTTTTCACATCAGCAACTGGATTATATAAGATAACAGAAAGCATCCTAGGGCTAAAGGTGGCTTTTCCAGAGGACTTTTAAAGGGAAACTGGTTTCCAGTCACATTACATACACTGAAAATCAGCAAAAATATCCATACATGTTTGTCAGAATTCAAATGCAGTTTTAACTACTAGATTTCAATGGGGTTGCTAGATGGTCAGTGATAACTTTTCAAAAAAAAAACATAAATTATAACACATATATATCTTAATGTTTATTTCAGCAAAATAAACTCATTATCAAATGCATATTTCAATAAACAAACATGTTACTGTAATGAAAGTTTATACATTCTGGCCAAATTTGCATAACAGCTGAGACAGATTATGTTCTTACTCAACTTCTTTAAGCCCATTCTTACACAAATCTTTAATATTGAGGCTAATTGCTATACAGTTACGACACTTAAATATTTTAACAACTAGTTCAGTTCTTAAATAAGAGATTATTAGCTATCAACTAAATGGCAGTAAATTGCCTAAATGAATATTACAGTTTCACTTTTAACAACTGATTCATCCAACTAAAAATATATTCAACAAAATGTGTATAAACTGGCTGAATCTGACCAATTTTACTTCCTTGTACGAAGTAGAAAGGAAGTATTGTAATCGCGAAAAGTTTCAGGCAGCATATTTCAAAGAAAATATCCATTTTGACCGCTACTGAATGCAATTTAACGATGTTTTTGCATGACATCTGTACATAAGGACAGAATAAAAGACATTTTTCTTCCAAAAAAATTATAAAAACTGCTTTAAAATGAATTCTTAAGAGAATTTTTCGTAGCGTCTGTACGAACGCATGTACGTACGTACGTATCTCGCATAACTCAAAAACGAGTAGCATCAGAACGTTGGAAATTTTGTATATAGGACTGTTATAACATGTAAATGTGCACCTCGTATTTTGCTTGCAATC